TTTTAGTTCAATTTACAGGCATGAGATATTTGCCAGTATCTCAACTAACAATAAAAACATCATTAAATATTTTCTTCTGTATTACTTAGCATCCTACTAGTTAAGCCTATGAGCCTTGAAGATAGTGGATCTTGGTTTTAGCCCTTATTTAGTTTCCTTACATAATAATACCTCATAAGGCTAATATATACAATCTCAGAGAGCTTCCTCAAATAGCTCAATAATTATAATTACTCTTATTATGATTATGCTCATACAGGTTGTATAAAGATAGAGCATGGGTTTTTATAGTTCACTTAGAGATGAAGGAACCAACTCTTACAGAGTTTTAGGTCACAGGTCAGTACCTCATGTTCATGCAAAGTATTATATTAGTGGTTGACAAGAAACAAAGAAAACAACTGAATCTCTATTTTTGAGGAACTCTTACCTAAACTGGGGAAGAGGATGGTTGTAGGAGAATTATAATCAGGGATATGACATTATGGGTGAAGTTAGTCATGGAAGACATCTTAGTGGAAGTGAGCCTTGAGCTCAGTTTGGCTGAAGAGTAGATTATGGGTTGTAAGAAAAGAACGGGGCAGTAGAAATCATACGGAGAAATTACAGAGGAGTAGTAAAACTTGACAGTTGAACAATATTCATTTTCACGTTTAATGGCAGAGCAAAAATTATTACCATCTCAGTATTCATAACATTATTTCTCACCAAATTTGGCTGTTTTGATCTATTAATTGGAGGTTTGATTGAATAAAGTAGAAGATATTTAAATTTATTTTATTTTAATTTTTTTTAAGATTTTTTTTTTTTAATTTGAGAGAGAGAGAATGAGAGATAGAGAGCACGAGAGGGAAGAGGGTCAGAGGGAGAAGCAGACTCCCTGCCGAGAAGGGAGCCCGATGCAGGACTCGATCCCGGGACTCCAGGATCATGACCTGAGCCGAAGGCAGTCGCTTAACCGACTGAGCCACCCAGGCGCCCAGAAGATATTTAAATCTAAAGAACCAAGGCTAGTTCATTACCCAGGTGGGTGGATCAAGCGTCTCTCAAAGGGGTTACAGAGAAACCTGTTCTCATTTCGTTCTTCTTTGTGCCTATATCCAACATGTAGAAGCTTCACCATCCACCTCCCACCTTGAGTTGCTACATAAGAAAATAGTTTTGTATTTAGATGGTTGATTAAAAAATGCCTTAATTATAGTTACTAAAGTATGATCAAGCTTGGGGGCATGTGTGGAGATGAAATTGTGGTAAAGTTGTAAACTAGGTAAGATGTATCATTGCATTTTTTTTCTGTAACATTAATTTTCCTCGTAGCCTGAATCTCATCATGCCCAATCTGTCTTCCTCGATATTTCCTGAGCACCCGCTACACATGAGGCTCTAAGGTGAACTCTGAGAAGCCAAAGATACATGCCCTATATCTTTAAAGTCTCACCTAAAGTCTAGCTAAGAGATAAGAGCTGAAGGGAGGTAGGTGCTTCAGGATATCTAGAAGCAGACCCAAGGGAAAGTTAATTTTTCTTTTTTATGTGTAGGACTAGTCTTTGCCTTTATAGTGCCATTCCGAAGGGACAATCAATGATAGGATGAATAGTAACTACTGTGTCTACCACTTCTACCAGTAAAATAACTATAGAACTACTTGAATGTTCAGCTTCTAAGAGTGCTCATCTGAGAGTCATTCCCACAGAAATAAAAGGATCTTTATATTCTATCAGTTTGGAAAAAATCTATGGTAATAAAATATTAGGCTTAAGAAATGAAGCCTTTCTTTTATCCTTATATTTTTATTTCAAGGAGGTTTCTTAGATTTCCCTTGACATTTAGTTTGTGCCGCTTCAACCTTATTCTGGAATACAGACATAGACCAGACCAAAAATACAATTCTTTTTTTTTTTTTAAATGAATGCATTTTGATAGAACTCTGAAGTGGTAAAAATTTTTAATAGTACGTCAGTTTTTTTCCTCTGCTACCTGATGTCTGATGCTTTAAGGTTTATTTTCTTGATGTTTATTACATGTAAGTTTGATTATATAAAATGTAAGTTTGATTATATAAAATATAAGTTTGGTTATATAAAATGGAAGGAAAAGGACAGAAGGTGCTAAATTAGGCTATGAAAGTTATAACTACTTAAGAAGTTTATCAGATAACACTTCTACTTCAATGATTTTTAGGGGGACTTTCAAATGTGACCACTAATATTGTGTTCAAATACTTCTTTTTGTGACAATTTAGCACCATATTCCTTTTTAATTATAACATTAGAATAGTAAACACATATACCAATTTCCCTCAAACTATGTCATATATCCTGTACACCAAAAACAGCACTTTGGTCCAAGTAATTTACAACGTGAAAAACAAATTGTTGCTATACAAGAGCCTGAGAAACCCTATGCATGTTCCAAACTCCCCAATTTGATGGGGCAAGGATGAGGAGTGGGTTGTACTAGAGTGGTTGAAATTCAATAGATTGGGCGCCTGGGTGGCTCAGTTGGTTGGGCGACTGCCTTCGGCTCAGGTCATGATCCTGGAGTCCCGGGATCGAGTTCCACATCGGGCTCCCTGCTCGGCGGGGAGCCTGCTTCTCCCTCTGACCCTCTTCCCTCTTGTGCTCTCTATCTCTCTCATTCTCTCTCAAATAAATAAATAAAATCTTTAAAAAGAAATGAAATTCAATAGATTTCGGTCAAAGATTTATTAAGAAAGTAAAATACAACCGTTTTTCCTGTGCTCTTTACAATCTGTCAATGTCAATCCTTTGCTCGATGGTCTCTCTGCAGGTTCACGTGGATCTGTGTGAGCCACGGTTTGCCTCTATTAGCCCCCTTTTGAGCAGGGAGAATGAATGTGCACATTTTATTGAACATGAGTGCCTCCTTTTGCCCTCTGCGTGGGGATCGAGACTATTTTTTTTATTGGGAAGTCAGACAATGCGACTAAGCCCCACTGGCATAGGCCTATGTAAGTTCCTATTGACGTAAAACTGGGAACAAATATGGGTAGAAAGAAAATAAGAGTAAAAAGGAGAAGCGCAAGAGGAGGTGAAATCAGAGGAAAGGAGCTCAAACTGGAGGAAGATGAATCAGGGGTTATCCTTCCAACTCAGCAAGGCAAGTAAACGTAACATAAGGTACTGTCTTTCTGCACTCACCTAGAATTTACAAGGCACACAAAATGACACAAAAAGGCAGTAGGTCAGCATTCTCTGCAAATGTTTAGGCAATTGAGGTAATTATTTGGTTACTCTATCTTGAATAAAGAAATCATCAGCTTCCATTTATTCATAGTTCATCTGAATAAGAAAGTTCCAAAATGGCTTTTCCCCCCTACCAAAAAAAACTGAATAGGGTGCCTGGGTGGCTCAGTTGGTTAAGTGAATGCCTTCAGCTCAGGTCATGATCCTGGAGTCCTAGGATCAAGTCCCGCATCGAGCTCCCTGCTCAGCAGGGAGTCTCCTTCTCCCTCTGACTCTCCCCTCTCTCATGCTCTCTCGATCTCGTTCTCTCTCTCAAATAAATAAATAAAATCCTTAAAAAAAAAAAACGAATAAATGTAACTTAGGTTTACAATAGAGATCCTGAAGCAATGAACATTTTAAAATGACTTCTGAATCATCACATTTTTAAATAATTGAGTCATTTATTAATAAAGTGCACTTGTAGTTCACCATCAACTTCAAAGCCAGCTTGGAATCTGAGGCAAGCATTAACCCAAGTATATTTCATCAAAGACTAGTTCCAGATACTCTAAAAAAATTAGCAATGCTTGTTTTTCCAGTCAGTTCTGCCTATGTATCACTTTAGAAATTGCTGCTTGAGATAATCAATGATGTAAATCAGTGATATAAAACAGCCAGTAAATTTTAGTTAAGAGACTATTACACTGATAAAACTAATATCTCTTTTCTTGATTTCTCTTAATTTCTTACTCCATGTTTTCTAGATAAATTATTGTTTCTACAGGTCATTGTGTAGTATTGATAAGGACGCTTCTTATCCACTTAAAGGTCCTGAAGGATTTAAAGAGTGTTTTCTTGCATTTCATGATGTTTGATCTTTTTTATTCAAAGTATTTTTGCATTGTATTAAAAATTGCAGAGGCCTTGTTGTTTTAAAATAAGATGGTTTCACTGTATTGCTGCACAATAGAAGAAGCAATTTAAGACCAGTTAATTCTCAAGCTCTTTGAGTTTTTAGCTCAGAGAGACCTCATGGAACTTGGAAAAACTACTGAGCACATTTGTTATACCCTACGGCAGGCCTTGGTTGGGAAGGGAAGCTTATATTGACCTTATGTAGAGGTGCAATGATCAATAATTAATTATTAAAATTACCAGGGGGAAAAAGCAGTGAATAAAGTATGGCAATTATATATAGTTTAACTACAATTCCTATCAATTGGAATTTTGAGAAGTGTTATATAGGGGAAAAAGTCTGGTGGTTAGTAGGAGAGAAAACCCTCTAAAGGAGGTTGGGGATAACCTGTTCGTGGTAAACAAAACAAAACAAAACAAAAACAAGACTCTAGAAGAAACAGAAGGAAGATGATGACTCAGAAAAAATAAAATAAGTTCTCTCTGGCAAAAACTGACTGATCAGTCAGTGTGTGGCTCTGGACCTGAGAGAAGGAAAGAGAGGTCGGCACCTTGTTGAATTTGTTACCTGGTGTTAATTAATCTCAACCAAACCGTGCCAACAGCACTTGTAAGATTTGATGGGTGAGGGAAGACCACTGCTTGATTCAAACCAAGAGGGTAGTTAGTAAGTCTTACTTAGGATTTTTTCTGGTCATAAGAATTGACAGAGTTTATATAGGTAGATTTTGGAAAATACATGGTCTTCGAATAAACTATTCCTCACATGAATTTCATTTTGGGAGGTGGGGACCAAAAGAGTACTATAATATGTATATTTTGAATTCGAATTTTATTTTACTCTTTTGGTAGCACCTTTAGGAGAAGTCACAGACAGGGGCAGTTTCTAGGACTTACATCTCTTCCAATCAGGTCCTCTTGGTTTTCCACAATTCCCCAGGGGGCGATGCCTATGGTACATATCTTCCCTCGAGACTTGGATGCATGGTCCTTTAAGGCATCTCCAACATGGCGAATAACACCTAAGAGAAAAAGAAGTATTACCCTTTCTTTTAAAGCAATTACTCTCCATTCTTCTAAAGGAAATTGTGATAAATGTGTCTCGCAAGGTTAAATGCATTGAATATAAAATTTTGACACATTTCTACACAAATGTTCAGAAGAGAACATAAATCTGTGGCTCTAAGGTCAGATACATTTGTGGGACTTGTATTTGAACTCTAGCAATGCACTTCTCTCTTTTTTTTTTAAGATTTTATTTATTCATTTGACAGAGAGAGAGAGATAGTGAGAGCAGGAGCACAGGCAGGGGGAGTGGGAGAGGGAGAAGCAGGCTTCCCGCTGAGCAGGGAGCCCGATGCGGGGCTCGATCCCAGGACCCTGGGATCATGACCTGAGCCGAAGGCAGACGCCCAACAACTGAGCCACCCAGGTGCCCCTCTAGCAATGCATTTCTCCTTCGACTTTAAGTTCTTTTTTTCCTAAGGAAAAAAAATTAAAAAGCATCCAATGTTTTAAAAAACAAAACAAAATAAATACAATTCTTTAAACTTAGGGAATCTTTTTCTTGTACTATAAGCATAATGATTTTAGTATGGCTAAGAACCAATACCATGAGTATATCCTACAAAAAGCACCATATAGAATATTATACGAAATCTACACCAGAGTTTGTGTATGAGTTAGGGTCATTCAAATAGAGTAGTTACTTAGATCAGATTTTGTTAAACTTGATTTCATCTTCCTATTTATTGACACACAATGTGGAGACCCTACTTGTAAAGAAAGCCTTGGCATATTCTATGGAAAATTTATGTTGAAAATATATAAATACAGCTTTTTAGCTTCATAATTCTAATTTGTTTTCCTCTTCTGTCATAATGACCTTCCCCATCACCGTGGCTTTCCTCACCAGTTAAAAGTGAAAAAACTCATTTATAAGATGGTAGGGAACCTATCTCTTATATTTTAATAAAGACAAGTTGCATTTAAAGAAGATGCAACTTCTAATCCATTAACCTCCCTCTGAAGTAATCATTTTTATAGACGCAAAATATATTCTCTAAGAAAAGCTGTGTCCACTTATCACAATTCCACCCATTTCTCAAGGAAAAATTCACACCTAGTGCCATCTCCTATAGGAAAGCTGAGGTGGATTTGATTTTTTTCTCCCTTTGAGTGGGATTGCAGTTTGCGTATCTTGAATCGCTCAGTATGTTATGTAACATATTCTTCTGTGAGTCACAATCACACGTGAGGGTAAAACTCCTTGTGGGGCAGCTTGGGGGGTCAGTGTCTTACTTCACCTTTGCGTGCCTGAGGTGCTAGCCCAGAGTAAGGGCCCAACACCGCACGGAACTAAGCACACAAAATGCACCAGGCAATTTAATCATGGGAGAGGAGACACATGTGTGAACCATGCCATTCTGAAGTATTCATAAGATCAAACAGAAAGACCCTCCTTTAAAAAAAAATCAAATAAAAGAGTGTAAATAGCACTAATCCATACTGAGCCATGCTGGCGGTGTTGATTAGAATATCAATTTCACTTGGGAACTTTTCTAGGGATCTTCTAAGATAAAGTAATGGTAAAAAAAAAAAAAGTAAATACAAGAGTTAAGCTGGGAATATCAGGGTTCATTTCCCCCCCCATTTATATGCAAAACTCCTTTCAGGGCCCATTAGGGACAAGTTTAACTTCATGGTATGCCCTCCATTGGCCACAATCCTACCTTTACCTCTTACCTAATCTGAGACGCCACCATTAGAACCTCACTTTGGGTATTGGATTGAATGCTAGCCTGGGGCGAGGCAGAGATGAACTCTTTGGTTTCCAGTATTCATGCTATTACTTCTTCCTTTGATACTGGGTGCATTTCATAAAAGAAGAAAGGTAATAAAGAACGTTCCAAGTTCCCAGAAACAGAAGACTGTTAAGAGTTTCTTTTGAACCTTTAGAAACCTTTGAGTGGGTCTGTAGATGAGGTGCAGGGGATGCCAGGAAAACACAAGACCAAATAATCATGCGTGAATGAGGTCGCTACACTGAATGAAAGCTGGAGCCTAAAGCCTGAACAGCCGCTGAAAGATAATTGCTCTGGAGATATTTGATTATTACCAGATAAACAGTAAAGAGCTGACTGAGCAGGTCATTCTAAGATCATGTCAGTTTACAGACTGAATTAGGAATCCACTGAACAATGATGAGCATGTGCAATCTGCAGCGTTCACTGCTGAAGTGCGCCTATGGAGTCTCATGCTGGATGTTCACAAATTCTAGGTATTGGGGAGAATTCTGAGTGCAGGTCTTGCTCAAATATTACCCAAACTGCACACAAATGAATAAACAATCTTGAGATAACACCTTATTTAAAATTAGTTGGCCAGGTTTATGCCCAGACTGTTCCCCAGCTCCAAATGTGTGCGGGCTGCACAGACTCAGAGCCTTGAACCAAGTTTAAATGAACTTACTGCAGTGTTCCTGGTGCATTTCCAATCGGCACTTCTGACTCAGGCTGGGGAAATACGTCAAAGCAATTTAGAGGCATCCATTCCATTATCTGTTGCCCATTAATAATCTGCTGCATGTAAGCACTTTACTGTAAGTGGGTTTGTGAGAATTGATTTGACAGCTTACCTGTATCACAATATAGAGAAACTCATTTGGCAGGAGAAAAAACTGGTTGGAAATCAGAGTGTGATGTGTCTTCTAATGGTGCAGAGTTGATTTAATAAAATATTTCAAATAATAAACGCACAATACTCCAGACTTTGCTGTCACCATTTATGTCCCAGATGTAATGGGCATTTTACAAAAATTAAAGCTATTTGCCTCAAACTTAAAAATCACTTAAAGATCAGACACAGAGCTTCCAATTTAGAGCAAAGGTTATTCTTTAAAAAATTACTGGATGCTTATCTGGCAACCTGAGGTATTGAAAATATCCTGTGAAATTCCATTAGTCATGTTTACAAATTCTGTAGAGTCAAGTATTAAATAGCCCAACCTGTTTCTCAGGTGTGCTTAATTCTTCCTGGTTGAGAACTACCTGTATGGTTATCATGCTGGTCATGGAGGGCAGAAGTATCAGAGGATGGAGAACCAGTGAATATGGACACACGGGGATGAGAGATGAGGTGGGGGAATACAAATACATTTAGCTTTAGGAGAAAATGGTCTTAGTTACAACACTCTCATGGCCTTAGGTTGCCTTTCTCTGTCCCACTCCCAATTACCTGTGTTAACCCCTCCCGTGAATATCCACGCTCCAGTCGTCATGGCCGCTTTGATGAGACCCTTCCCAAAGACTTGCTTGAGTTTTGGTTGGAGTTCAAAGTTCTGTAGGCCCCCATGCACGGAGATGAGAAGCTTGGGAAGCTCCAGCTGCCATTCCTTGGTCATCAGGTGCAGAAGGAGATCAGGTTTTGTATCAAAAGATACTCGCACGTACTGGAAGAAGAAGGGTCACCCGTTAGGAAGACAGGGCAGGGCTGCTAGGGGGGCGGGGGGGGGCCTTATCTTTACCGATTGGAACGATGTGTGCAGTCCTTGAAGAAAACCTCTCACATGAAATCTGATTTTTGAAAAAAGGCAAATCATTCTCTTTACCAAGAGAGTCTTCATTTGATGAAGGGATTCCCATTTTTCAAGGTTTTATTGAAATTGTGATTTATTACAAACTTTAAAATGGTTTTTCTAAAATGCAGTGCAAGCCAGCTTTTCCCAGTTATATCAACTGGGCCTGAATATCACTGTTTCTGTGACCCTGATACTTTGAGCAGTTTTGAAAAATTCTGCTGTTCTACCTAATGTAATGAGAATTTTAAAACCAGGTAACAACTGACTACATTTATTTAATCTATAATAACTGCATATTAAATATTTCTTAAAGAAGTGACAAAAGGCATGCCAATCATTCCTGTAGAATAATCGAAAAAAATTAAAGTGTATATCAGATTTCAAGGTATTAGCAGATGCCCCTGGAAATAAGTATACTAAGTATATATAAATGAAATGCCACAAATACATACAATGATAAACATATATATAATCACATACATACTCATTTAGGTCTCAGTTTAATTATATAAAGACTTCCATCTTTATCTGGAAACAAATTACTGGGCAAATACATTTGAAAGCCTTTTGAAATGCATTGCTGAGCGGGTGTGAAAAGAGCCAATATTCAGATTCCCAAACAAAGTAGAAGCTGGAACCTCAGGAGACAAGGAAGGACCAAAGCAGGCTTTGGACTTGAGGGTTCCTCCTAAACCCTGGCGGATGTGGGCATCTGCTTTACTGGCTTTATGCAGTGCGGACAAGTTTAATGCAGGAACCCCATGTAAGCTGGGATACTTCAAAGGGCTCCATTCTCAAGTGTAAGGAAGAAAAAAGGGAGCAAAAGTCTGATGTACAGAAGAAGAGAGTAAGGAAGTCAGCCTGCTTCTACCTTGGTTCTGAGTGGATGGGGAAAAAAATTCCCCTCTGATTATTTATAAACCAGGGGGCCCTCACAAAGACTTTGATCCACATTCACCCTCTACACCCTCTACACTATCAGTGTGGCTTGAAAAACACCAGAGTATTTGATTTAAAATGGTTCTGGCTGGGTAATGGCTTCTGATAATCAGCATAAGCAAATGCAAATCCTCTGTGGAGGAATGAGCCCTCAATCTGGAGCTCAGATAGTTTCCATGGGAAAATAAACATTTCACAGAAAAAAATAAAATCACGTCTTACATAAGGAAATCCAGCAGTATGAATGAGAACCAAAAGAAATAACAGGTAGCAGAATAAGATCCTCAAAGATATTGAAATATTCAGAGAATATAAAATAGCTATATTTAATATGTTAAAAACACAAATGAGATAATTGAATGTATCAGTAAGGAACAACAGGGTATGGGGAATGACCAATACTTTTTAAAATTATTATTAACATATAATGTATTATTTGTTTCAGGGGTACAGATCTGTGATTCATCAGTCTTACACAATTCACAGCACTCCCCATAGCACATACCCTCCCCAGTGTCTATCACCCAGCCACCCCATCCCTGCCCCCCTCCTCTACTCCAGCAACCCTCAGATTGTTTCCTGAGATTAAGAGTCTCTTATGGTTTGTCTCCCTCTCTGGTTTCATCTTGTTTCATTTTTCCCTCCCTTCCCTTATGATCCTCTGTCTTGTTTGTCAAATTCCTCATATCAGTGAGATCATATAATTGTCTTTCTCTGATTCACTTATTTCGCTTAGCATAATACCCTCTAGTTCTATCCAGGCCATTGCAAATGGCAAGATTTCATTTTTTGATGGCTGCATAATATTCCATTGTATATATATATATACCACATCTTCTTTATCCATTTATCTGTTGATGGACATGTAGGCTTTTTCCATAGTTTGGCTATTGTGGACATTGCTGCTATAAACATTGGGGTGCCCATGCCCCTTCAGATCACTACTTTTGTATCTTTGGGGTAAATACCCAGTAGTGCAATTGCTGGGTCATAGGGTAGCTCTATTTTCAACTTTTTGAGGAACCTCCATACTGTTTTCCAGAGTGGCCGCACCAGTTCACATTCCCACCAACAGTGTAGGAGGGTTCCCCTTTCTCTGCATCCTTGCCAACATCTGTCGTTTTCTGACTTGTTAATTTTAGTCATTCTGACTGGTGTGAGGTGGTATGACCAATACTTTTGAAAAAGAATCAAAAGCAACTTCAAGAAATAAAAAAGTAATAATTTAAAGAAAAATACAATAGAAAAATTAAGCTACAGATTAGACACGCTAATGAATAGATCCAGAGAAATCGACCAGATGCAGCCTAGAAAGACAAAGGAATTAAAAACGGAAGCAAAATCGAAAACCTTGGAGAAGATGATCTGAATTCTAGATGGAAGTAAAAGAGATAATGGGCAAGAAGCAATACTCGAACAGATGCTGGCTGGGAATTTCTTAGAAATGTTGAAAGATACAGATTCTCAGATCCAGGAATGTCAATGAATCCCAAGCAGGATAAATAAAAACAAACACCACTCAGAGACACCTCACAGAGAACACCAAAGGGAGGGAAATAAAAAAACCTTCAAAAGCTGCTAGAAAATAAGACAAATCACCTACAAAGAAATAGTCATTTAAGACAGAAGGTCTATTCCTCAACAGCAAAAATGGATGCCACAAGCCGGTGTCTTCAATGTGCCAAGAGGAATTATCTGTCAGTGTAAAATTCTATATTGAGAAAATATCTTCCAAAAATGAGAGCAAATTATAGACATTTTCAGACTACCCAAACTGAAAATTTATCTCTAGCAGACTTCCCTGAAGGAAATTTTCAAATATATATATAGCAGGGAGAAATTACATGATCCCAAATGGATGATCTGGGATACAAGAATCACTAACAAAGATATTAGCAAATACACGGTAAATCTAAAAAAGCACTGGGTGTAGAATATAAATGATGATAATATCTAATTTATGGTGGGAAGGTATAGAACTAAAGCACTGGACAATACAGCATTTAACTGGGTGGAAGTTATCAGGATGAAAGCATTCTAAAGTCTGTATGTTGCGTGGGAGAGAAGAGAAAGGTACTGATTAACTCTGGAATTTGTTAAGTATTAATGTTGAGGTAGCGTAACCACAGAAAGAACAGAATGCCATGTAACCACACCAACATATGCTTTTGGATGTATAAACAAATAAGGTTATGCAGGAGGTGACAATTTATTGGAATATTTTTGGATCTAGGAGACCCCATTGTTGCAAAAACCTCAGAAATTATGTCAATTCTTTTGTTAAAATGCTTTTTAAATATACCTAGCTGAAATGAGAGGCAAAGTAGAAGAAAAAATGAAAGCAGCTTGACAACATAAACTGCATCATCAAGAAATACCAAAGAGCTAAAGTTTCCTATATATATGTATACTAGAAATCCAAAGAGGTGTTGGAATCTAATAAGCTGGTTCTGTGTTAATTTAATCTATGGAGCAACAATCAATTTCAGAATGGAAAGGGTAAGGGTTGGCAATTTTAGATAAGTGCATTATACCAACAGAATTTAACTAGAGCTCACAAGATGAGAAGTGGCATACTTTGTGCACACACTTTCATGCAGAGGGCAAGAACTTTTCAATATGTATCCACAGAAATTTTCAATAACAATGTGCATTTTTTTGCCACGCAAGGAGCCTTGGGGCTGAAGAGTGGGCACTGTAGTGGTAGAAGCAAGCACAATGTTTCTTAAATAAAGGCTATGTTATTATCTCTCTCTATTGTTATATTTATTAACTCATTGAGCGACTCCAAGAAAAACATCTAGATGATAGATGCTATAAGATGAAAGAATAAAATGTTTTCTGTGCCTGTGCACTGTCGTTAAAATTTGGCAGCCCCGCTGAATTTATGTCATTTTGACTAATTTCAGAAAGGGATATTTAGTGAGATAAATTAGGGCTGGGACTCCCAAGGCTTCCAAACTATACAAACCAAAAATGCTTAGCGTGGGAGATGGTAAAAAAAAAAAAAAAAAAGCTTTTTAAGTTACTGTTCTCTCCTTTACCCTCTTATACCTTCAAAAAAGAAAAAAAGAACCCTAGGAAAGTGACCAAAAAAAAAAAAAAAGAATCTACTGAATGTGTTAAAATTCCTTTTGAAGCAGCCTAATCTTTTGCCTAGTTAAGAAAAGCTTGCTTGTGATCACAGAACTCTTGTTACTCTGAGTGCTCTAGTAGGGAATGAATGACCTTGGATCACCTTGTCCCCAGCTCTGTCTTACAGATGGGGAAACAAAGGCACTTGCTGTCCAGTCTGTGTAAGGTCACATTGCTGGTGGGCCCTCTTCACATATTTCTCTCTGCTCTCAATTTCTTAATTCTATTGAGAACCGCCCCCCCGCCAAACCCCAAACCAAGACCTTTTTGTATTTACTGTGCCCCAGCACATACATTATCATGACTCCTCCCAGTAACGAGGAGGTTGGTATCATCCACATTTCACTGCTGGGGGACAGAAAGGATACATCAGGTTCTCAAGTTCAGCTGATAGTTAGTGGTAATGACAGGGTCCATAGCCCAGGTCTGCTGACTCCAGAGTCCTTGCTCTTGACCTCAGAGTAAAAATGCCCCTCTCTTCTTCTCCTTTTCTTTAACCTATAAGCAGTCTCAAAGTTCTAATGATCCATCAGCCTCCAAAAGGCTTCTCAACCCCATACCCTCACCAAGACATCAACAAAGAGTTCTTTCTCCCATTCCTTTTTGATCCCACTATTTCTCAGTTCAAAGTGTTACATTATATGTAAACTCTCATTCTGCGTGTCCTGGTCCTCCCTGCTTTGGCTTGACCCCACCTAGAGGTTTTTCCCCACTTCCTTCTGTATTTGGCTGATGCTGTTCCCTAAGTCGTAGACTACCCAGTTCCTCCCTTTCTTGTCTACAGAAATCATTCTCAT